ACACATGCCCTGCATGCGGGCAAGGTCCACACAACACCCAACACCTATTCGCATGCGCCTCTAACCCCACGACCCTGAGACCAGAAGCACTATTGACCGCGCCTATAGACGCCGCCCGCTTTCTCGGCCTCAGGCTTGTCGAGTCAAAGGACGAAGACGACCCTGGATGAAACCCCGGGGGGTTGAGTACTGCTGCTACAACAACAACAAGGGCACTAGTATATCCTCCTTGCATTCTCATTCAAATTGATAAAACCTTTAAATCACTGACCACTCGCCATTTATGTATCCCATACCAATGTTTCTAAGTATTTGAATGGTCGCCGCGAATCACGTTGTAAGCGACAATATGCTTAAGTCTAGTTTCTTTAACTTTAAAGATATAAATGGGCAATACATTGTACATATATATTTCATAGTGTAAGAGTAAGTTTCTTGGATACTTATTTATATACCGAAAAAGTAGAAAATCAAATCAAATGAGCTTATTTATGTGCGTCATTATAAATTTTTGTTTTAATTTCTGCCAAATTATAATCATCGTTGTTGTTGTAGCGGCTACAACCACCCCGCCCAGATTGGCCGTCAAGCTCAACTAAGGGAACAGCCAAGAACCGTGCTGTGAATAGTGTCTGACCACAGGGACAGAGGCGTTAGCTGTGTGGGGTTTTGTGGGCATGCGGAGAGATGTTCCGAGTCGTGGGGTGTCTCTCCGCATGACGGACACTAATTTTTTATTTATTTATTTATTTTTTACAGTATGTTAGACTTATATTATAACAAAGATTTAACACTCTTAGAATTAGATTAAGATTTAAAATTTAAATATTAAATATGATTACTCTGCGGAAATTTTTAAATAACATTATTTATCACTGCAATTATTTTATATCAGTGTAACAGCATGCCATTGGCTGGAGGTTTTGTAGACGGTTGGTAAGGCCGAGTTTGCAATCCGCGCTATACTTTTTGGGTTTCTCCGTATCTTGATATCTCCTGGCTGGTCGAAAAGGCCGAGTTTCCGATCCGTCCAGTCGCCTAGTCTATATCTTGGTGTTTGGAAAAGCCTAGTTTTCAATCCATGCTATTGTTCGTACATCACTATCTTATAGGCTGAGTTCTATAATAGTCATATAGCAGCCGTTTGAAAAGAGTGATAGTATCAAAGTTTTTTATAGCCTATGGTAATTCATTAAAGCACTTTAAGCCTTTATAATAAATATTTTTTTTTTTGTCCACTTCTGTTCTACACTTCGAGAGTCTGAAGCTGTTTTCTTTCTTAACAAATATGTATGGGTCTCATTTATATATCGGAGATTATCGCTAAGATAATCCGGCAGGTTGTCCTTCTTAATATTGTATACAAATTTCATAGCGTGGTAAAAAACTTGTTGCTTCACGCTTAACCAATTCAAGGTTTCAAGTATACTTCTTGTTGGTGTGTCATACGGTTTTTTGAGGATGAATTTCATCGCTCGATTTTGCATTTTTTCCAGCTTATCTACATGCTAGTCCCCCGCTAGGAAGAACATCGTAGGGCAGTATATAAAGTGGGGCACATCTGCATCTAATTTGCTCAGGTATGAGTTCGACCTGCTGCTGTAGCCAGAGGGAAGTTGGGCTATTGTGGTCCGAGTCTCCCGATGCAGACGAAGCTCCGTCTCGTCCAGGTCAGGTGGTTGTGTGCCCATAACGGCATTCACAGGTCTGGAGTCTACGTAACTTGAGACTGACTCCCTGTGAATGCCGCTCAGGGTCTGTCGATATGCTGAAGGGTCCAGAGGAACATAAAGCAACTTCGTCCGTCAGTTCGTATAGATGCCTTCTGACATGCTTTGGCGAGGGCTCCTCTGCAAGCTAGTGTCTGTTCGGGTGTCCACGTCTGTGACTCTACTAATAATTGCTTGCAGAGCATTGTGTTGTGCTCCCTTATAGGGAGCATTTGCGCCTCGTCATGTAGGTGATGTTCTGGAAACATCAGAAGACATCCGGTCGCTGTCCGAAGTGCTGTGTTTGGTGTTGTCTGCAGCTTCATCCACTGCGTCCTACTGGTCCCGGCGACCACACTGGTGCTGCGTTATTTAGAACCGACCGGCCAAATGCCTTGTATGTTGCCAGCAACATTTCTTTGTTTTTGCCCCAAATACTGCCGGCTACTGACTTGCGGACCTTATTGCGGCGTATGCGAGGAGAGAGGTTGTATAAAGTTACTCCAATTATTTTCGAGTTATTCTCCGTCGGATTTGGTGTATCATCATACCCAGCGGTAGGCTGACCTCCTTCGTCCAGGTGGTAAACAGGGTGGCAGAGGATTTTGTAGGAGAGAGGGTAGGGCTGATTGCAGTGAAGAAGCGAGAAAGCTCGGAGAGATACCCGTTTACTTTCGAACACAATTCATCATCAGTTCCATTCCCAGACTCTATTATCGAACAATCATCAGCGTAAGAGACAATCGAGACTCCCTCTGGTGGTTGAGGGAGCTTGGAAATATTGTAGTTAAACAGTAATGGTGAAAAGACACTACCCTGTGGAACCCGCCGTTTTATCATTCCACGCTCCACGTACCGGCATGACTCGGGTTTTACCCGGTCAAGGGCTGTTTCTTTTTTAGGTCGGCGAAATCCATAAAATGTTATTCAACAATGGGGCTATATCTACTCCGTATCCTTCTGCTCAGGGCTGGCAAAGAGTCAAACCCAGGGCCAGAAATTTACACCTGTTGCGTATGCCAGAGACGATTGCATGCAAACTCCACCTCGGTGAGGTGCACCCCTGTGAGGGGTGGAGTCATCTCCGCACCTACTAGGGCCTACGTACGCACCGGCAATGGACCACGTCGCTCGTGGCCCCAAGCTGTGCGAATCGGACCACTGCAAACCGCCCCCCGCACGAGCAGCACAACACTAACACACCCACACCCCAACATGACACAGCAATAGACACACATACGAACACTACAGCACCCACACAACGGCGCCGGCAACTCCTAGTCCCTCCGACAATCTGCTCGGTTTGTCCAGAATATACCGTAACGTGACATCAGTCAAGTGCAACTCATGCCTTGGCAGCAGCGCCGTCTGCAGAACATACAGCAGGGGGCTGGCAAACAACACAACTCACTAACACCCCGCATCACAATTAGTCTCCCAAGGCACACAAATGTGCTACAATTCAACTGTAACGGACTTCAGAGCTAGATCGAGGAGATAACCGTCTTCATGGGCCGGCATGGAATGTTAATAGCTGCGGCCCAGAGACGAAGTTGCACAGCAATTCAACTCTGTTGAATTGCGCCGGATACAATATGCACCCGTGCCACCCGTGCAGTATCGTCTTATCGAAGAAGACATCGACCGAGTTAACTACGTTAGTATATACATACATACATACAATACATACATACATACATACATACATTAGTTATAGTTTCCAAACACAAATATCGATGAACAGCAGCATACCAAATGCAAATATACACCCCTATGCTGTAATCTGTCGTAGATTCGATTTTGCTACGAATCGTAAAATTGGTATGCTGTAATCCGCGTTGCCGTATCGTAATTTCGAAATTCGGAGACCATCTTCGAAATTCGTAATGTTGGTATGCCTGAATCCGACGTAGCTGTAATTTGTATGTATTTGTCAGAAATTTTCTACGAAGAGCAACTGGTGTCGGAGCGAAGCGAATTCTTTTAAAATATCAATAAAATAAAGTGTGTAAAGGAAAAATATGTAATTTAAAGTGTGAATAGAAAAAATGGATTATTGTTAAATATTTACAAAATTATCAGGTCGAAGATCACAACAAATCGGTCGCAATACGAAAAAATGGTAGAATGCATGACCGAAAGGCCGGACATTACTCGCTTTGCAAAAGGAGCTAAAGAGGATGTAGTGGAGTTTTGGGAAGGCGTCGCTCTGCAGCTAAACAGCTTAGGCCCATCGAAAAAAGATGTATCCAGCTGGAGAAAGGTGCGGATACAATTTTAAGAGCACAAAATTTATTTATCATTGTTTTCCTTATATTAATACTATTTCAAGGTATGGCTCGATTATAAGTGCTACATTAAAAGAAAGCGTTCCGCCAATAAAGCAGAGACGAGGGCAACTGGTGGTGGACCCAACAGAATGCACAATTTCAATGAGTTGGAGGAAAAAGTGATCGAGTTGACGGGTTTGCACACTTCCACATCGGGGATCAATGGAGCTGTCTCTTTTGGTGTGGTAACAACTCAGACGGTTACCCAACCGGTGGTGGAACCTGCGGCAGTCGTTCCTATGCCAACTGAGCCAGACAATGCCAATGTGCAGAGGCATTCCCCTCCGTTAAAAAAACGACAGGGCCACTTTGGTACAGGAGCAAATAAATTTGCAACGAAGCTACTACCAAAAAAGTTTGGCCTTTTTAGAGCAGATAACGTGCGACTCACGTACCAAGTGCAAGAGAACATGTATGACATGAAGAAGGAAAAATTGCGTAAATTAAAGCGGCACAATATTGAAATGGAGGCCCTTAAAAGAAGGGAGCTTGATTTGCAGGAAAAATTACTGCGGATACAAGAAAGAAGCCAGCATAAATGAACTAATGGATAAATTAATTTTTAAGATTTTTTTTATTTTTGAATTTAATTTAATTTTGCACTGAACTACTGATTTTTTAATTTTTTTATTTAAAGATTATTGGATTTAAGACTATTAGATTTAAGAATATAACTGAACTAAAGAAGTGAACTAACGTTTGTGATATCTGTATATATGTATAAACTATTAGATTTAAGAAAAGAACTGAACTAAAGAAATGAACTAACGCTTGTGATATATGTATACCCCCATTAGATTTAAGAAAAGAACTGAACTAAAGAGATGAACTAACGCTTGTGATAACTGTATATATGTACAAACTATTAGATTTAAGAAAACGACTGATTTTTTTGTATATTTAGTTTTAAGAAAAGAACTGAATTTATTTTAAATTTTTTTATATCAAATAAATATGAAGTACAAAGTTATGGGATTGTTTTCATTAGTTAGGTAATGATCTCAAAATTCGCATTCTTATGTCTGACGCTTCTCTGGAAAATTCTGATGGCGCTTCCTCTTCATTTACATCTTCATATTCATCATCCATAATATCAGGTGTATTATCTTCTACGTTGTAGTGGATGCACATGTTATGCAATGCGCATACCACTTTTTGGGGTGAATAATGTAGTTGGCGAGCACTTAGCAGGCATCGAAATCTATTTTTCAAAACGCCGATGACTCGCTCGACTATGTTGCGCGCTTTACTGTGCGTTTTGTTGAAGGCGCTTTCTCTACTTCCTGCCACAGGAGTACGGAATGGTGTAATTAACCACGGCTGTAATGGATATCCAGCATCGCCTGTTAAACAAAATATTTTTAGTTATATTTAACACATTTTGCTCTCATTCCACTTATAACATACCTAATATCCAAGTTGTTTTGTCTCCTTGCCGATATCTCTCTTCAAAATAGGTTTTTGCAGCGCTTACATTCCACACATGTGAGTCGTAGCTACTGCCTGGAAACCGAGCATCAACACATCTTATTTGCATCTTGTTATCGCAAATCTGTTTAATAAATTTACGATAAATTGCACGTACAAAATCACTTTGCTCTTGTGGTTTTACTTACCACCATTGCATTTAGGCTATAGTATCCCTTACGATTGTAGTACAAATACGGTTCGTGTGCAGGAGGAAGTATTTTAATGTGCGTGCCGTGCACACACATAATAACGCCAGGGAATTGCGTTCTCCTGTAAAACCACATTTTGACTCGTTTATTCTCCTCCTCCGTCATTGACAATTTAATCCATACTGGGCACAATCGGCGTTCCAAAATGTTTAAAGTTTTTGTCAATGTTTTTGAGAACGTGGATTGCGCCAACCCCACATCAAAATCTTTCCCAACACCGTGTTGGTAGCTTCCTTCAGCGAAAAACCTCAAAACTGCCATCAATCTACTTATAGGTGTCACCGATGATGATTTTAAACTTCGCCCAAGCTCTTCCTCCATAATAGTTAAAACGCTTTTAAATGCGTCTTTGTTGAGGCGGAAATTTTTTACAAATCTTTAAACATTTAAACGATTAATTTATGTGTGTATCAGTGAAATCAGTTATAAAACTTACATTTTATCATTTAAGCTAAAGGGATCAGAACTGTCTCGTAGCAATCTCCTTTGTATATTAATGCAACAGTTGACTGCAGCATGTTCTTCCTCCTGAGATAAAAGTGCACCGGCCACTGAATCCATTATATTTTACTTAATTAAGGAAAAGCTTTTTCAAATACGATTAAAAATTTTTTTTTTAAGTTCACTGTTCACTTGCGATTTTATTTATTTTGATTTGTTTCTGTCAAAGCAACTGATTAAGGACTTCGAATTTCACTATTTTAGTTGGCAACGCCGTTGATAGTTACGATCGGATTACAGCATACCAATTTTCGAATTTTCGGAACGGAGCTACGAATTCGTAACTACGAACTTTCGGATTACAGCATAGGGGTGATATTCTTTGTAGTTAACGACGCTAGTATATACATACATGCATTAATTATTGTTTCCAAATCCAAATATCGATAAACAACAGCATACCAAATGCAAATATATTATTTGTAGTTAACGACGTTAGTATATACATACATACACTACACACATACATTAATACAAATATACCATTTGTTCCCTCACATAAGTAACAATAGCAACATGATAACATTATACAAAACCTGTAAACACTTTTCAAAAACAATCTTAATCTACAAACAAACAATATTTATCATCAACTAGTAAAAATAGTATAAATAGATGTAAGCATCAAAATGTAAACTCAATTCTAAAACATCCGGAATTCGATATAGGAGGAGCTCTTGCTCAGAAAAAAAAATATTTTTTTTTTTTATATTTTCTCTACGCGGAGCTTTAACTGGGGTCTCAACCGGTCCAAAAAAAGCAATTTCTATTTCTGACGTCAATGAAAAACAGAATAGAATAAATTTAAAAAATCCCACGGGAAGTAAGATTTCCATTGTCACAATTATTTGCAAGCAGATTCTGAAATAGCGGACAGCAATCGAACCCTGTGACAGATAGATTCCTGAAAAATCGGAATATAAAACAACGTGCAACAAACTGGAACAAGTACGGAGAATCAGGGGTACAAAAAACATAATTTTCGACGAAAATCGCGAAATAAAGGAAAACTTCAATATGGAACAAGAAATAGCCGCACTAAAAGCACAACTAGCAAATCTAGTTATTACTATGCAGGCGCAACAAACATCTTTTACTCAACAACACAACAAATTGCATCAATGGAACAACGTCAAAATTCCCAGCAAATTACCCCAATAGTACAACATGAAGAGATTTGCCTCATCTTCAATAATCCCAATGACATAGATTTGGAGCTATTCAAATCTTTACCACGATTTGATGGAGACAGAGCCCAATATAGATCCTGGCGATCACAAGCGTGGACATTCATGGACTCAATTAAGAATTTTGCTTGTCACCCTCGCTATTACAGCGCAGTAGGTATTTTACGCACTAAACCATAATACCAAACTCAATTTCTACGCCATAATAAACCGTTTGGATTATACCGATGCCGACCAAGGACCACTTTACGTGTTACTGGACGAAATGAAAAAACTAAAACAGGGACGACAAACGCTTTCTCAATTATATAATGAAGTGAGTAAAGCACTTAATTTAGCCCTGTCCAAAATAGAAATGTCCGGGGACCAGAATAACATTGTAATGAAGGATTATGGAAACCAAGAAGACGTTCGTACCTTCATTATGGGAGTAAACAGCAAATATACTGGTGGTACGCTTTATAGTAACAATCCCAACCACTTGGAAGTCGCCTATGCAATCGCTTGTACCATCCACCACGACAATGCGAACCAGCAGTTCGAGTTACAACCAGCAGCACCTCCACGCCAACGCTATCCTGACAGTCGTCCACAACAACGCTATGAAGACAGACAGCACCGCTTCAATCCTGGAATTCAATTACATCGCAACAACCAGCGCTTTCAATAGCAACAAGTACACAGAATCGTCGCGTCAATTTGTCCGCTCAACTCAGAATGGTATGCATAATAGGTTTAATAATAATAATTTTAATAATCCGTTTAAAAGAGAAAGAGTGCCGTCAAATCAAAATATAAATCCTCAAAAAATACAGAGGATAAATCAGACAGTCGAAGAAGAAGACAAGGTAGAAGACCTAGAAAATTTTGAAGAAAAATATGAAACGGGAAGTACTTTTTTATTCGTGTAAAAGGTTTGCCATGTATTGTAACAAAATGCGATATGACTGGCAAACCAGTGACAGTTTTAGTAGATACAGGAGCTACAAATAATTATATTAGTTTCAGTTGTGATAAAGCAAAATCTGTGCAAATTGAGCCAACGCTACAAAAATATTGCATGGATACTCAGTAATAACATCAAAAAAAGTTATTACACCATTTATCCTTTTATGAAATTTAAGGAACTAAATGACTACGATATGATTTTATTTGACTTATTTGATTATAGCCTAAAATATAAAAGAGGATAAAAGAACAAAAAATAAATTATACCCTAAACGATGAAAATTACAAAAAGGAAATTTGTCAAATTATGCAAAGAAACGATTATATTAGCCGTTTACAACAACAATTAAAGCTTCAATTAGAACTCTATCGGACGACCCCATATGGACTAAGCAATACCCTTATCCGATGGCAGACCATGAGTTTGTTAAAAGCGAAATAAATAAATTGCTAAAAGAAGGAATCATTCAGCCGAACAAAAGCCCATATAATTCTCCTATATGGACCGTTCCCAAAAAGGGCACCGAAGACCAAGGCAGACCCAAGAGATGGATGGTTGTTGATTTCCAGAAAATAAATTCTCGCACAATTACAGATAGATACCCGATACCCGATGTAAACATGACCATACAAAGTCTAGGGAAAGCAAAAATATTTTCGACGATAGACTTAGAATCAGGATTCCACCAAATTCTCATTAAAGAGAGATATAGAGAAAATACAGCATTTTCGGTAAATGGAGCAAAATATGAATTTGTAAGGATGCCTTTTGGTTTAAAAAATGCATAGGCAATATTTCAACGATGCGTTGACGATATTTTGCGTGATTATATTGAAAAATTCGCATTTGTTTATAGTAATGACGTATTAATATATTCTTCTTCACCTGAAGAACATATTGAACACAATCGAACTATAATCAATGCTCTCCATAATGCTAATATGAAGAACTCGAATGAAGTCGCATTTTTTTTTAAAGATTCCGTTGAATACTTAGGACATATCTTTAAACACAATAGGGTAACTGTAGACCCAAATAAAATAGAAACAATTAAGGAGTTTCCTGAACCACAAACTTTAAAATAACTGAGACTGTTTTTAGGACTCGCTAGTTACTATAGAAAATTTATTAAAGATTTTGCAAAAATAACAAAACCCTTGACTATACATCTCAGAGGAGAACAAGGTATGGTGAAAAAAATAAAAGCGCGAAAACAGAAATAAAATGAGATGAAGCTGCAATACAGGCCTTTGCAAAATTTAAATTAGAATTACAAGCACAGGTACAGTTGTATCAGCCAGATTTTTGAAAACCTTCGCTATAAGAGCTGTACTTGCACAAAATAGGAAACCAATCGCTTTTATTTCCAGAATTCTAAGCGATACCGAACAGGGTTATAGTACCAATGAAAAGGAACTCTTAGCTATAGTGTGGGCACTCCAAAAATTACGAAATTATTTATACGGAGTGGCAGATTTAACAATTTATACAGACCACCAATCATTAATATATTCTGTATCGGAAAAAATCCGAATAACAAATTAAAGAGATGGAAAAACTTAATAGAGGAATACGAGCAAAATTAGTTTACAAACCTGGTCACCAAAATGTAGCAGATGCACTTTCTCGACAACAAATAAACACCTCAACGGATTGCTCAGCTCATTCTGCAGAAAGCTCACCAATAGAAATAATGAAAAAAGTAAAACAGCCATTAAACTCGTTCAAAAACCAAATAATTTTTATAAAAAATAATGAAGAGAAAGAAACAGTCTCTCAGACAATATTCCCCGACCATTTTAGGCATACGATATATTACAACGATTCACAAAATTTATTCAGCAAATTAAAAGAGGTAGTCAGACCAAACGTTACAAACGCTTTAAAAGTAGAAAATGAAGAAGTTTTTCACTTTGGAAAAGATATTATTCGTACATTTCCAAATTGTACGTTTGTACAAGCGCAAAAACTTTTTAACGATAATGTGAATATCGATAGACAAAAAGAGATTATTATACTAAATCACAGAAGAGCAGCGCTCAAGAGATACTTTTAAACTACAACTGGCCAAACCTAAAAAAAATTTGCAGAACAGAAACAAACACATGCGAAATATGCCTTTTACATAAATATGAGCCTATAGGAAAAACTCTAATACCAACAAAAGTAGGAGAATACACACAAATGGACATATTTCATATGAACAATAATAACGGGTGATTTTTTTGAGGTTAGGATTTTCATGCATTAGTATTTGACAGATCACGTGGGATTTCAGACATGGTGTCAAAGAGAAAGATGCTCAGTATGCTTTGACATTTCATCATGAATAGACTTACTAACGAGCAACGCTTGCAAATCATTGAATTTTATTACCAAAATCAGTGTTCGGTTCGCTTTACGTCCGATTTATGGTCTACATAATCGACCAAGTGAGCAAACAATTAATGCGATTGTGACCAAGTTTCGCACTCAGTTTACTTTATTGGACATT